ATGGGAAGGACTAAGGATGGAACAAAGAAGATGGAAGAAAAGATAAAAGAAGAGGAGGAGTTTAAAAAGAGGGAAATCACCAGGAGCAGACAGGCTGCCTATGGAATTTCATGAGAAGTTTTGGGCATGGGTAGGGAGGGATATAGTGGAGGTTTCTGAGGAAATGGCAGGAACAGGAGAGGCAGGGAAAGATTTTACAAGAGGTCTGATGTCTTTACTCTTCAAGAAAGGGGAGAAGGAAATCCTGAAAAACTAGAGATCAATTATACTCCTTAATATGGACTATAAGTTAATGGCCAAGATGTTGGCTTTGAGGATGAGGAAAAACCTCAAGAAGATAATACATGAAGACCAAGTATGAACAGTAACAGGTAGAAGGATATCCAAAGTGATCAGACATGCACTGTTCCCCACACAAGAGAGGAAAACAAAGAAATAGCAAACTGTGATTTAGATGAACCATATGACAGTAGATCATGATTACAGATTTGAAGTGCTAGGAAAAGTGGGGCTCCCAGTGAAATGCATATGTTGGATAAGGTTATTGTATAGAAAAGTGGAGAGTCAAGTCCATATTAATGGGAGCCTAAGCGGGGCCTTTAAAATCCATACAGGGGTGACACAAGGGTGCTCCTGTAGCCACTACTATTTGTGTGGCATAGAACTGTTAGCACAAAGAATAAGAAAGGACAAAGTCATAAGCAGAGTACAGATACCGGGGGTGGCGGGGTGGGGAGGAGGTAAAATGCATAGTATACATGGATGATAAAAAAAAAGAAATAATTAGAAATAAACTTTTGATAAAAAGTGTGCTAAAGCATACCTTAGTATGGCGAAGCAACAAGGGCTAAACTAAATAGGTTGCAAAGCACCATAATGGGAGTGGGGAACTGGAGGGACTTGAAGAAATTTGGCCTTCAAATGAGAGAGAGGGAAATCAGAGTGCTAGGGATCCCAGTGGAAGCCAAAGGGAAAGGTAATACAGCATGGGAAAAGGTGATGGCAAGGATACAGCAAATACTTCGATTATGGTCTGAAAGGACATTGTCCTTTGCCAGAATAGTAGCGGTGGTTAAGGCTGTGCTACTGCTGATCATTCTATACACAAGAATTGTAATCCCACCAACATGGCAGCAGACAGCAAAAATACATAGGGAAATCTGTGTGTTCTTCTGGAATGCCAAAAAAGAAAAGTTGCCTAAAGCTGCACTATACAAAGCAAGAGAGATGAGGGGTTTGGGGGCTGCTGGATTTGGGAATGTTTGTCTATGCAAAATATGTAAGCGCAATACGCAAGGCAGTAATGGAGAAAGAGGGGAAAGCAGCGCATATCACCTGATTTCATGCAGCTGCAATTCTGAGAACATGGGGAATATATCAGACCTCTTTGACGAGTCCATGGGTATGGCAAACACCAATTTATTACATCAGGATGGAAGGATTCATGCGCAGGTATAAAATAGGGAAGGCAGGGATGGAGGTCCTGAAGGATCATAAGAAATTGATGAAAGTGGTAAGGCAGACAGGATGGCGGTTGTGGAAAACTTCGCAGAAGAACAAGTGAAGAAGGTGTGGAGATTGGTGGCAGGTAAACAATTAAAAGGGGACCATGCTGACCTAGCATGGACGATTGCAAATAATATCTTGCCATTGAGAGAAGTGCAACACAGATGGGGCTTGACGAGCTCATTTAAGTGCCCAAAGGAGAGGTGTGGGGAAGAAGAAACAGTGAAAAGTGTTTTGGGAATCTACATATGCAATGGGGGTGTGGAAAGAGGCCTGCCACTTTCTGTGTGTCACCAAAATAAACCTGTTGTTAAACGCTGGAGATGATGCTATATGGACTCATGCCAAAGGGACTTTATCAGCATATGTTAAAACTAGTTTATAGAAAGTAACTCTGGGTGTGTAAGGGGTTAGCTTTCACTGAAAGAGTGCCTGAAGCTTGGGCTCCATGAACTGAAATACTACATCACTTGGGACAAGGACAGGATTGGAGAGAAAGAGGCAGAAAAGTGGAGGAGAAAGGACTGGACACACTTGTTTCACTAAATCAACAAAAAGGACTGATGGGAGGGGTAGAGAGTTTCAGGTAGTTACCGAGGTAAGTTTTTCATGGGATTCTACATGAAGAAAAAGATTTCTGTAAGGGTTTATTTTTTGTGGGAAGTTGATGTCTGTTGTTTAAGGGTTTAATATATGTAGTTGTATGTTTTTTATATGTATTTGTTTCTGTGAATTGAAGTTTTGGTAAAACAAGAATGCTCTTGTGTAGCTTTGTAAGTGTAGGATAAGTGTATTTTTAATAATGTTTGTAAAAAAAGTTCCCACCAGCACTGTTGTCCAATATAGGCCATGTGTTTTATAGTCCTGCTCAATGTTGGTTGCATTAAAACAACATCATAGTCATTTTCCATTACTGAGCACATGCTGTTTTAGCAGCAGTTCAAAGATAATATTTTATGTGGTTTCCTTTTATGCGATTTTAAGACAAGGCACTAAACTCATCTTCTATTTGAGTAAATACAGTATACACAACACAAACCACAGAGCTGAGGAGAGGCGGGGAGAGAAGACAGACTGGATATCATTTAAGGAGAATTAAAAAAAATGGAGACCCATAAGAAAACCAGTCCTGAGCTAATGTAATGGCAGCTTAGTTTTAAATGCAAGAAACATCACTGAAAAGCAATCAAGAAAGTGAAATACATACTGAAAGGGAAAATAACAGAAAAATCTCAAGTGATGGATGCAGTCTTTCAGGGAATTCGCACTGAGAAATAACAACTACTATTCAAAGGATAAGTTATAAAAGTATGGTGTCAAACTCTAATACAGGAGAAAACACAGGAGGAAAAAGACCTGGGTTAAAGTGAGCTACTCTTTGGAAGCAAAGTACGGCTCTGATGGTAGCACAAAAATCTATCTACTTTCTCTTCTACCAGGACTCCATTACCACAGTATCTTACCATACTGACTGCATTTATCCTCATAACCCTTGAGAAAGACAGAAGCACTATTACAGTGCTATCCCATTATAGAAACTGGGAACTCAAACACAGAGACAAAAGGTAAACGTTTTCAAGAGTGCCTAAGGGTACAATCCAGATATGGTCTTGGGCACCTCCAATTTAGACTCTGATATGCTTACAAAAATAGGTGTCTAACCCTAGGAAGGTAATTTAGAGGTGTTAGGGACCTAGTCTTCCCATAGGGAGAGGGAAACACTTCCAAAAGGGCACTCAGAGCTCAAATGCTGACCAGAGAGTCACTGAGAACCTGCTAATATGAAACACTTTGCACAGGTCTATGTTGAACTTCCATTCCTCTCTGGAGTTTAGGCACCTCTATCTAATCAGGATTCCAAGTTTAGAGTCCTCCTTAGAGGGCCAACACCTAATTGAGGGAAGGTGGGGGAAGTAATGAGTTTTGGTCTCTGTTCCTAGGACTGGTTCTAAATTTTATATTAGATGAATTGTTTTCAACAAGAAATAACACTGAGTGTAAGAAATAGAGCCTAGGATGGGGGGAATCCCCAAAAACTGCATGGCAGCCTAATCATTAGGTTCTAGACTCAGGATCTCTTTTGATTACTCTTCACTGACCCAATGCTACTTTTATTGGTGTCAGGAGTCTCCTGGCTCATCTTAAACAGGAGGGTTAGAAGATGCCTCCAGTCCTAGACTATTCTAAAGCCCAGCATTTTCCTGGGAATTTGGAGAGGTGGGTTTGAATACTCTTTGGCTAAACAGGTTTAGCCCTGGATGATTTCTCTAACCAGAAGGCTATTAAGTAAAATGTGAGCACCATCTCCTTCTCCCACGTTAATGTGAAAGTGACTGTGGCTGCTGCATCTTGTACTGAACTCAATGGTGTAAATGAGTTAAATGTGCCCTGGGCACATCTACTGATCAGGGTTCTCCAGCGACTCAGACACAGTTTAAGCATTGCTCTGCCTCTGATCTAGATTCACAGTGGAGCTTAGGCAGGAGCTAGGCATCTAGAAGTTCAGACTGGGATGTTTCCATGTATGTGCAGAAGCCTAAAATTTAGATGCCTAGGTACCTTTGCAGTCCAAAACATAGATGCCTAATGAATTTTGTAGCAGCTGGAGGATTCTGCATTACTTTTTACAACTTCAGTGGAGTTTCTGCAATAGTTTAGTAATCAGATCAGCCTGAATAAGTGACTTGGAAACCTACATTACTTAGTTAGAGGGACTTGTCCAGGTTCAAACTGAGCTAGTGAGGCAGAAAGTTGAACCAAGGTCTCCTAAATCTCAGGCTATAACTTATCCAAAGAACAAGGGAATTCATCTCTGTGCTGCAGTTTCCCCATCTACCCAACACGGGAAATATAATAAAATGCCTAGAATCTTGGCTGAAGTGCCAAGTGCGTAGTATTATCCTCACCATATGGCTCCTGAGGAAAGGAGATGGAAGCTAATCTTATCTGAACATCTTTCCAGGATACCAAGGAACAATGCCATATTTTACATTTGTCCAGATCTCCTGCTGAAGGCAGACTATCTGCACAATAAGGATGACTGGACTGAGCCCTCTGTAACCCAACAAACTTGGCATGTCTGTTTCTCTCTCAAGCTGTCTGTCTAGGCTCTTAGACAACTGCTAAGGAACTAGGACTCTTGGCTCACTTTACCTCTGGCACGTGTAAATGGATATGGGAGGTGACAAGAAAATCATTGCCAGGCTCCTTCTGCATCAGGAAAGCTCGTGCAAATGTGTAAGCTATTTTGGCACTTTCTTTCATTACATCTCCCAGCTGGCCTGTTACTTCAAGGGATCCATCCTTATTTTCCATGTCTTTGGGTCGCCGTAAGGATGTTTCAATAAACAGAGTGGAACCTCCTACAAAACATGATCAGAAGCAAAAGAAGATTAAACATGCTAGCAATTTAAAGTAGTTTACAGTGAACCAGGGCCCATTCAAACCCCAAGCTCTAGTTAATAGGTTTTTTGCAAGACATCAGTAACACTGGCACAAAGATTATTTAAAGTCTAAGCTCTAAATTCTCTTGGGTAGGTTAGTTTGAAATCACACTGGCAAATTACTGACATTCTCCAGTTAGTAGCTCATTTAACCCAATAAACTACCACTACCTGCAACTCCTACCCAATGCTGTGCCATCAAAGCATTTGAAGCCAACAAGAATAAGATTAGATGACTACACACAGTTACTCTTACACTCTGCAAATGCTTTGAACTAACACTAACACTAGTTGAGGCTATCTGAAAGTTGTTACTGCATCTTCCTCAAGTTTTTGGGCAACTTTAGCAACCCTGTTTTGTAATGTAATTGAAATTAGCATACTTTCTTATTTTAATAGTTCTGTTTTTAAGTTTTTTTGTCTTTGTATTGCAAGTTGCCCTGAACCTTTTCTGGGAAAGACAGTGTATAATAAAATAAATACATTTAGCCACCATCCTGAAGACATTACTACTTGTATTCTGCAAAGCCACCTGGCCCTTCGAGGAAATTTAACTACTGGACAAATGTAGGTCAGCTACTAAAAAATACCCTGGTTTACATCTGTAGCTCTGTGCCCACCAAATATCTAAACCAATTTATGTTGAAGTCACAACTGACTTGGCACTAAATATCTGTACCACATCCTTTATAGAACACCTGAGCTCAGAGGGTCAGTAAACCTGTATTTTCATTCTAAATGGAACGCCAGGTCTCTGGTGAAACAGACCCACTGCACTGCATACCACATCAGTACTGTACACCAAGGCAGAAGACAAGCTAGAGGCTGCTACAGATTTATGCTTACAAATGCCTTTACGCTCACAATAATACACAGTTCACACACAATACAGAGCCTCAGAGAGAACACACCCTAATCTGAATCCCTACCAGAGGAAAGGAGTGACCATCAATTTTTGGTCAAAAGCAAGTCAGAATACAGGAGCAATCTTTAACTAATGTTAAATAAGTTCCACCTTGGACTTGGTGGAGGTGTTCCATTTCCTCACCTACGTGGCTATGTCCCAAATTCAGAGAACTATTCCAGCTCCACAGTTGCTACTCAACTTTCAGATCTAGTAACTTTGCCTCACCAGGACAAAATGCAGTGAGCTTCTCCTGGATGCACAACAATCCATGATAAATGAGAACCTTGTTAGTAACCACTGTATCTGCTACATCTTACCCATAGCTGTCCAGGCCAGACCCATCACTACTCCGGGAGGAGTGATATCATACATTCGATCCACGGTGAAGACAGGCTTTCCAACAAAGTCCTGCAAGTTTTCAGGTGTTACTTCAACTGTTTCTGCTTCTCCACTGACAATTTTATAAGCAGATTTCCTTAATACCTGTGCAAGACAAGAGTTAGCTACTCTAAGAAGAGATCCCAAAGCCAAAAGCACAAAATATAGTGATCTTTATACACCATGTCCCCATACCTTTTCCACCTGCTTCTGCAGATTTCTCACTCCACTCTCTCTACAGTACTGCTTGATAAGAACTGGCAACACATCTGATGTTATCTTGGCCTTGCTTTCATCTAAACCACACAGGACACGTGCTTGAGGGACCAAGTATCTCTGAAAACAAAATAAGCCATTACATATTCCTATTATTGTTCACAGCTTAAAACTTGATCAATTCAATTGATTCAGCTTCATTCTGCTATTAGCCCCATGCTCATTTTCTAAAGCCAAAATATATCCAGGACCTGCCCATAATGGAGTTGGGAAAGCAGATCATACATTGGGTCTGTTTTGCATGGTAGCGTTTCTTTGAGCATCCTTGCTGAGTGTAAGCATACAGCTTTACTCTCCAAAATATTTTCCTTCATCTGATGCAATTCAAGGACAGGGAGCTGCAAAAGGCTCATTTGCAATGTAGCTTCTCTCACCTCTGCAATGGCAATTTTCTCTTCTGCAACATATCCCGATACATTGATAATTTCCATTCTGTCCCTCAGTGGCTCTGGAATGGTTTCAGTTACATTGGCGGTACAAATAAAAAGCACCTGAAGATTACAAACCAAGTTAGGTGTTTCTCACTAACGTGCCGCTTCACTTCATTCTATGAGTGTTTACTATCTCAGTTCTGTGGTTCTCTGATTGTAATGTGACTTCTCCCTCTGTGTTCTAGCTTCTAACTATAGAGAAAAGGCTTTAGAGTCCAGAGCTGTAGAATAAGGTTACCTTTTCTTCCTAAATTAATGTTTAGCCAGGTATACAGCACACACTAGGAATTCAGAATAGCTGAACAGGTGTATGGGGAAAACTGTTTGCTACTACAACTTGAGAATAGGAACCCCCTGTAACAGGGCATGGAAAACTTTCTGACATCTCCTCCTAGACACCCCCAGATGCCAAGACCTGAGAGCAGCAGTCAGATAATTAAAATATGGATCCTTTGAGCAAGTATACTGGCCCCACATGCGGTATTACCTGAGCTGGGGGTAGGATACCATGTCACAGAGCTATCCAAGGCCAAAAGTCTGAAAGGTGCTTGCAATGCCCTGCATTAGGTCACTTTACTTGCATTAGATAACATAAGCATAAGAATACCGCTTTCTTGATGAAAAGAAGTACCTCTGTGCTCCGTTAGGTCCATAACTGACAGAGACTGAGTAGGCTCCTAGGACATCTTACATGTGTGAATACTATGGATGAGATGTACCTAGCTAGATGGAATGCTTTCTGTAAAATGCATACTGGTTTAGGCTTGCAATTGACCCCTGTTAGAGCTTGATATGGAACACTATGCATCCTGATCACATCTTCCTAAGCAAACAGGATGATATACATTCCCTTATTTTGTTCTCTGAAGTACCAGTTTGAATAGCTAGGGTACTTCTGAATAAGACCTGTAAGCTTCCACCTTCACAATACAAGGTGGAAAAATACCTTTGACAAATCCACTGGAACATCAAGGTAATGATCCAAGAAATTGGAGTTCTGTTCTGGGTCCAGCAGTTCTAGAAGGGCTGAAGATGGATCCCCTTGATAACCTCTCCCTATTTTATCTACCTATAGGGAAGAAGAAAATTTAAGATTTAGTAACCTGAAAGACTTCTTACCATAATGGATTTTACTGAAAAGGTTCGAGGCACCTTTTCAGTGTTTGGAAAGTCACTGTCCTCTGCAATGGATCAGGTGTTTGAATAGCTGTTCATCACGAGATCAGATCACATGGTTCAACTGCACACAGTCAATAGTACATCAATAAATCAGCACACTTGGCAAGGTAATGGGATCTTCTTAAAAAACAGGAAAACAAGTTGTACAGATGTGAAATGAAGGGGCTTCTCGGAGAGAACACAACTGTGTAGCAACAGAACACCACTTTCCACTGCCTGATTTGATTTCTTTTAAAAACAAACAAACACCAAAGAAACAGTGTGGTTTGGTAACTGGTTATGAAACCTGCTAGTCTTTTCAAGACCATTAGAGGCTATCACAATCAAAGACAATTGCATCTTAAAGTGTAACCCAGTCACATATTAAAGCAATTTATGGTGCAATAAAACATGACACCAGTCAGAAAATTATTACACAAAAATGTGTAACTAATTTTGTGGCTGGTTTCCATCACACCTTAAAATGAATGTGTGACAGGGTGGACTGCACCAGGGTCTCCAACTGACCTCAGTACAGCCCCTGCCACGTAATAATCAGCTGATCACTGGCAGCACCAGAACCACAGTGGAGTTCAATCTAGCCATGGTAGTCCCTGCCAGCTGACAATCAGCTGATCATTATATACAGGGGAAGCCCAGGATCATGATACCAGGCTCCCTGGCAAGTAGGGCACAATTAGGGCCTGGTCCCAATCTCAAAAACCCATATCCTGCCATGCATGTGTCATGGCAGGAGGCATGAATGTTGGAATCGGAGATCAGATCCCATCACGCCTTTAAATGAACACTTGTCAGTGACCTAATACACTACAACTTACTACACCTTGTTTGTTTTCCTGAAGCAATTTTTTTGCAGGAGTTTAAAGTGTTGGATTAGAAGCCCACAGCTTTACATTTAACCCCAAATTAAGTTAGGCTTGTATGTGACTAGGTCAATTTCTTACTCCTCATATGACTCTTTTACATGCAACCAAAGGGAGGAATCCTTCTATGAATCACAAAAAGACGGTTAGTATTGGTGGCCACTCATCCTTCTCATGAAGATGCATGTAAACTAGGCACTCAATCTAAGGGCTACACTGTAGTAGAAAACTGGAATTTTATCTTAATTCACACCTTTCTACACTGACACATGCAGAAAAAGGAGAATGTAAAAGCTTTATAGTAGCATTTTCAATAGCATCTAAGTGACTAAGGGAATAACAAGTCCTATTCAACATCATTTTTGGACCTGGATATTTTTGTAAATGTAAACCTGTGTTTCTCCAGTTGGCTGAGACTGAATACCCAATGTTTAAAAATAAAAGAGGCAGAAGACAGATCAGATCTGATCAAATACATCACCTCATCAATCAAGATAAGGGGATTTTCTGTCTTGGTCTTCTTTAGGCACTGGATTATTTTTCCTGGCATTGCTCCAACGTATGTCCTCCTGTTTTATGAGAGACAATATTCAGGGAAGAGGAGCAAGGTACTACACACATTGGACAATATAGCATGCAGCTGATGGAACAGAAATAGATCCTGATTTCTTGTGTCTAAGGAGAATACTCTCAGCAACCCTTCACAACCACCACACTAGGGCTCAAAGACCCATCAAGGCTCACTCTAGTATTCAGATCTAGATGCATGGTTTGGGAAGCTGCCAGGGCTGCACATTTATGTCTTGTTTTAGTTGCTTTACAGTTTAGGGTGACTGGGTTTTATTTCCTCATATATTGTAGTGAAAAAGCTAAGTATATTTGTTACACCTTGGAGAAGAGGAAAGATGGGGAAGGGGTTCCATCATGTCCTTATTTGATGGGGATGGTGCTTAGCCTACATTCAAAACCAGGATAGAGGGCTAAATTGTAAAATAACTTATATTATAAAGTAACCTAGTGCTCTAAGCAAGAAGGAACTGGCATCCAGGATAATGGCAAAGCTTTTGAGTGAGGGGTAACAGAAGTACAAAACACCAAAATATGAAAGCCCTGACCCTACGCTAGGGTGAAAGTCACATGGGATATAATAAACGAGATACAAGCCTTCTTTAAAGCTGAAAAGCTGATCACTTCCAGCTCTGCACATTGCTAATGTATAAGGAAAGCAAGCTGAAGTAATCAAATCTCAGACCAGCAAGGAAAAAGGTACTTCAGAGGTCAGGAAAATTCACTGTGCATAAAAGACCTATGTATTAGTGAATTTAACACAGCAAAGAAAAAGGGCTGGGAAGGCTGATATGCCGCAAGTATATTGCAAAAGTCAGCAGAGGCACCCCCACATGGGACAGACTCAGATATAGAAGTGGCCCAAGGAGTCCTGAGTGCTGAGAGTAGCCCTGGGTCTCGCATGCCCTATCCTATGCCTGAATTCCAAGAGAAAGTGGCCTGCTCGTGAGATTCATGACAAGAGTCTTCAGTACAGCAGTCAATGCAGAATCAACTCTGACACCGCTGGAGAGTCACAGTGGTAATGAACTGTCATTAAGTTGTAATGAACTACTAAGATCATAAGACTATATATGGCGGACCAATAGTTTATGGCAGATTAACAACTAACTGAAAAGCCTGAGAGTTTTAAGGTAGCCCAGCTGTTTTTGGAGAGATTCTGAGATAGGAAGCTATGAATATTAATCCATGAGGTGTGAAACAGTTGGATGAGGAGCAGGGAAGATACTGTGCAACTCCCTTTAAAAGGGGCTGAGAATTGTGATGCACTGCAATGTTACGTGAACTAACTGGAGAGTCCTCAAAAAATACCACACACCTCATATATCAAGACATAGCAGGCAAGACTCAGACAGGAGATACGTGCCTCCTGTCACACCCACGATCATACCAGCCAGACTGAAAATATCTGATATATCCCACCCCCAACACTTTAATTCCATATCATGGGCCAAGGAGCTTCAACACAGAAGAGCACCATCTTTTACTAGTTTAAAAGTGTTCTCAGTTCCATCCATCTTAAACAAAAATCAAATAAAACTTTTGCTGGGTCTCATTTGCATATTTTGTATACTCTTATTCTGGTCCTTCCCAAGAAGGGTAGTCTCTGCTTGTGAAGCTTTTTTCAGAAAGAACGTCCTAATCCTCCAAAAATCAGGCAACCAGCAGACTTCAGAACAGTATTACTTGCATCATCTCCATTGTGTGGTGCTTGCATTTCTGTGAAGAAGTTTATTAACTCCACTCCAGTAAGCAGAATATGGAAGTTTTTGGGCAAGAGGTATTATCTAAATCAAAGGTGGCAAACATACAGCCAGCCTATGGACTGGATCCAGCATGTGGAAGTGGGCCCCACAAGGCTTCTCACTATGGCTACTAAGGCTACTGTGTTGATGCGGCCAGCACTCATTGGGTTAACACAGATCCCACTGGAAATAGATACCCTCTCATCCCCTTTTCCTGTCTCTGAATTTACTATTTTGATAACCTCTGGTGACAAAAAAAAATCATGGCAGTTGGAGGCGGGAGGGTGTGAGTGAATGGCAGTAGTGTTAAGTCCCTGGGTGCTGGCAGGGAGTATGGCCACCAGCTGATTTGAGTTTGACACCCCTGATTTAAAAATTAATATTGTGATCAAGTAACTTATTTTAAAAGACTGGTAAAACCTGCTGGGGTCATATCAGAGTTAAACCAACCTGTGTCCTTTGATTTCTGCCACATCAGTCATTCCTCCAACACTAAAGCGGAAATACTCTCTGTTTAATGCTCTAGCAATGGAGCGAGCAATGCTAGTCTTTCCAACTCCAGGAGGGCCATAAAAACAAAGAATCTTCCCTTGAGTTGACCCTCGCAACTGGCTGACTGCTATGAATTCCTGAAGAAAAGAAGAGATATAGCATGTTAGTAGACAGTACCTCCACATTCACCAAAGTATTGTGTTTACTGTATTGTCTTGCATAACCCACATCTTCTTCCCTGAAACCAGCGGGTAAAAGCTGGAATGTGCATGGGGACACATGGGGAGCCCCCTGGCTGGATGACATGGTCCCACGCATCAGATCAGGCTGGTATGCAGACCTGGACCTGTCATGTCAATTGGTTTGTGGGTACCATCTGGTGTGCAGGACAAGCAGCAGGCTTAGGAGCAGGCTTGGCTCTCTAGCTGCTGCTACTTAGTTTCCACTAGGAAGAATTTTTTTCCTTTAAGCTTCCTTTCAAAAACAAGGTGTTTATTATCCTCACACAGACTGGGTAAACACCTCATCAGGGTAAGATGTGGAGATAAAATATATGGATGTAATACATTACTGCTTTCTAGAGTAACTTGTCTTGGAACCTACAAGAGGAGAATGCTAGACTTAATCCTGAGTAACACACAGGATTTGGTTCAAGAAGTATCTGTAGGTGAGCCATTATGTAATAGCAACTATAACAATCACACGCAACATCCTAGTGGGAAGGAGCAAACAGAAAAAGTCCACTACGCTAAGATACAGCTTTAGGAAGGGAAATTACACAAAAATGAATAAGTTAGTTAGGAAGAAGTTTAAAGGAGTAGTCAACAGCATAAAAAAATCCACAGGCAGCCTGAAAACTGTTTTAAAATACCATGTTAGACACTCAGGAAAAGTGTATACCACAAATCAAAAGGGGTACCAAGTAGTTCAGTAAAACTCCTGCATGATTTAATAGCAGTTAAGGAGGCCAGCCAAAGTGAAAAGGCATACTTCAAAAAAAAATGAAGGCATGCTCAAACGAAGAAAACGAGAAAGCTCACAAACTCTAGTTGGTCAAGTGTAAAAGTGAAATAAGGCAGGTCAAAAAAGAATGTGGACTGTCTGGCAAAAGATACTAAAGTTAATAATAAAAACTTTTAAAACATACATCAAAAACAGAAAGCTAGTAAGATCATTCATGGAACCATTAGATGCCCAATATGTAAAAGGTACACTCTGGGATAATAGCAGAGGACAATAGCAGAGAAGCTAAATTAATTTTTTGTATCAGTTTTTACTGCAGAAGATAGTGGCAAAATTCCCATGAAAGATCAATCCTTCCTAGTAGATAAGTCTGAAGAGTTGGATCACACTAAATTGACAGCTGAAGAGGTTTTGGAACAAATTGATAAATACTAATAAGTTGCTAGGACTGGATGGCATTCATCTGAGAGTTCTGAGGGAACTCAAAGGTGAAACAGATGAAATTTTAGCAATAGTATGCATGAACGCTACATGCCCCCGGAGGCTGGGGGGACATAACTGCCCACAGGTGGTGGCAGCAGCAGTGTTGGCAGTGAGTGGGGAGCTCCCACAGGCAGCCATGGCTGTGTCAGCAGAGAATGGGGAGCTCCTGCAGGTGGGGGTGTGGAGGGAAGGGGCACATCAAGGCCCCACTGTGAAGGAGGAAGCGGGGCTGGGGCAGGGGCAGGAGCTGCACAGCTGGGGTGGAGTGCGGAATTGAGCTGTGAGCAGCTCGTCCAGAGCTGGGGCCGACGCTGGGCTCCTCCCAGCTGGGGAGGGGGAGCTTGGACTGGGCTATGCTGGTGGCAACGCTGCCCCCCCACCAGACTTATTCAGCTCTAGCAGTGGCAAAGGATGATAAAAGCAGTAGCACCAGGAGTGGATTGTGGGGCGGGGGTTAAGAGGACTGGCTGGGCAGTGGGAGGGGGAGCAAGGGGCTGGCTGGGCAGGGTTGCAAAAAATAGACCAGTGTGGAAGAAATGAAAAGAGCAGTCCTGGGGCTGGGTCCAGTGGCTGGGTTTTCCCAGCCCTGGGGCTGTGCAGGGGAAGTAGAGAGAAGTTCCATGCACTGGTTTGACCTAAACCAAGTAAGTCTGATAGTACGTAGATCTAGGTTCATCTTAAATTGGGTTCTCCAATTTTTAGACCAGTTTGTGTACACGGAACTTCTGTAAAATTACAGGTTTAAACTGACTGGTGGTCACTGAGACTGGGCCTGCAAGTGTAAGGTCCTGCACCAGGATGAGCTAAGTTTAAATCGGGTGGACATTCTGAACCTGATTTAATTGCTCCAAACGTTTGTACTTAGCTCCGGCGGTGCACCTTTGGTGCCTGCCACTTTAAGGGCTGGAGCAGGCAGCCAACAGGTGCCTGATTAAGGCAGCCATTTTCAAACAAAGGCCAGCCAGGCAGAGACAGCAGTTAGCTGTTTGTAGCCAAGGGAGCTGCACCATCCAGCTCCCCTGAGGCATGGAACATCCTGGAGGCAAGGGCAGGAGCTAGGAGGATGGCTTGGAGGCTCCCGGTCCTCGGCGTGACCTAAAACTGCACCTTGCTGGGATATGGAGGTCTGGTGGGACTGCCAGTGGCATGGCAGTCCCACACAAATACCGGGACCGCTCATCTCCCTGGTGAAAGACAGGTTGGGGCACCTTAATAACCCCAGCTCCCACAACACTGTGGGTAAGGGGGCCAAGTACAGCTATGGCCACCTAAGCCCCAGAGGGTGTAAGACCCCAGGAAGGGAGTGGGGCCAGGCACAGATGCAGCCACCTGAACCCACAGGGGTGAAAGTTCTTGGAGGCCCCAGGGAGAGGATAGTTGTGTAGCCCCAGGGAGGGGGTGGTAGTGAAGGCCCTAACAGGGGTTATGTAGGGCTGAGGGTCAGCCTGAAGGGCAGCCCAAGGGGGTGTGCTGAGTAGGGCTGTGGGATGGCCAGAAGGGCAGCATATGGGCCAAACTACATGAATTCAAGCTGTTGGGTGCGAGAAGCCTGGTGAGGAGCTAGGGCAGAGTTAGCCCTCCGTTTGGGGAATTGACTGGCCATTACCCAGGTGAGGGTCGCAGGAGAGGCCCAAGAGTCTAAATGTCGCCATCTGAGGTGTGACTCAGATAAGCCTGATGGCCTACCAGGCTGCTCAAGGGAGCAGGGTAGAGTGAAGGGGGCACAGTATTGTGCAGCAAGCAAGAGACCCTGTGAGAGGGCGGAATGCGAGAGGCCCCAGTGAGAGGGGAGTGGTAAGGGTGCATGTGTGAATGAGGCCTGACAAATGACTATGTTGGCCTGGCTTTAGGCCAGCAGCATCGTGACATACTGGACACCATCTGCAAGGCAAGGGCAATGGTGTAGGGGCACTACGGAGCCATGGATAGCGCCCCCTGGCATCAGGGCATGTAATGGGCAGCTTCCTGCATTTTCCACCAGTTCATTGTTACAGCAAAGTTGTGGTATGTGAGCCCAGGCAGACTGCCCCATAGACAGGTGGGCAGGCTGACTTGAATCTCAGCCCTGAGCTTGCCCCCTGTCACATTAGCCTTTATAATCTAGGAATGGCATTCAACCTGACCTCTACATTTAACATTTATTCATTGCCTACCAGGTGGCAAAACTTCACAAAGCAGCAGCTACAATTAGCAATTAAAATAAATTAAATACACACAAATTTGGGTCTCTGGTTGACATCACAGAACAGTAATAACTTCACTCTTTTGGGGGGTTTCCCAGGCTGTTCTTCCTTATCTTCCCAAAGATCCACTAAAACTGTGGCCCCCGCTTAAACAATATTCATGCATCTCCCCATTAGATACATAAAGAAATACAAGTTCAATGGCGAGTCACAAGACAGACATATAATTAGGCTGCACAATGCTAACTAGAAGAGACAGCCTGAATGTTTTGAGTGTGCTTTACCAGAATTCGTTTCTTGACATCATCCATTCCATAGTGATCCTCCTCCAGAACTGCCTGAGCTCTGGTGAGTTCCAGGTTCTCTTCACTGCATTTACCCCATGGGATAGATGTGAGCCAATCCAAGTAATTCCGTGTAACACTAGCAGATACAAGCAAAAAACAAAGATCAGCTTTCGTAAAATAACCACAGATGGGGTGGCAAGGAGAGAGAAAACAAGCAAGAGACAGTAAAGTGCAAGCGAGTGAGTGAATATGCATGCATGTAGTTCAGTAGGATGAGTGGGATTAAAACTATATTTGTGGAGAGGGTGGAGTGGAATGCTGTGTCAGCTTTGTTATGGGACGAATGGAAGCTGTTGCCTAAATTACGGTTCATTCTTGCAGACCTTTTTCCAAAGACCTGAACACCCTCAATAATTGCCACAGGCTTTTTATATTCAGCAGCGTGAAGATCATTGGGCAGGGGAAATACTTTTTCTTATAGTTATGAGTTTCCTTTAAAGTGCTATTTACCTTCTTTTTGAATTGTTTGGAAGTCGATCAAAATAACTAAACAAATAGTTTGTGGCTAGAGTCGCTTTCTTAGAGTAGTGGTAGCAGCAGGCACTGCACTGGGAAGCTGTAACAGAATTGCCATAGGACCTTCAGGAGTGTGACAGAGCTGTTGGGCTTGGCCTCCCCAGGAACTGGCACATGGGACAGATACTGGGGCAGGATGCAGAGGCGGGGAGCAAGGGTCCAAACCAGGCGCTTTATTCCGCCTGCCCACAGCAGGGTTGGAATCCCATAGCCACACCCCTCCTCAGCCTTTGAGACAGCTAGGGGGACAAGGGGGCAAAGCTCACACCCATTCCAGGCTCCCAGCCCCAGAGGACAAACCCAAGTCCCCAGTGCCGCTTTCCCCCCTGACCCCCCCATCCAGCCTTGAGGTTGAGAAGAGGGCATGCCTAGGGGTCTCCAGCCCTGCTCCCAGCTCTGGCGGGTGAAACCAAGCCCCAGTACAGGCTCTTCTCCACCCCCCAGCTGGTCCAGAGGCCAAGGAGAGGGTGTGCTAGGGGCTGAGGAGGGGGACCAGTCCCCTGGTCACCTACTTCTTAGCCTCTGGGTTGGCTGAGGAGGAGGCATAGCTGGGGGACTCCAGCCCTGCTCCTGGTGGCAGAGCCAAGCCCCTGCTGCAGGCTCTGCCCCTCCCCCGCCTCAATTGGCGTGGAGGCTGAGGAGGGGGTGTGGACGCCAGGCTCCTGGCTCCCAGGGATGGAGCCAAACCCCAGCATGGGCTACCTGCTGAGGCTGAGGAGGGTGTGTGGCTGGGAAACTCCAGGCCTGCTCCTGGGGGAGAAGCCAAGACCCCGCCCTCCCCAGCAGTGCCAGGCTGGGGATTCAGTGCCCAGTCAGAGGGGTGGGTTTCCCCCCCCACCCTCTCCTCAGTTAGCCAGGCCAGGGGAATGATAGTGCTCTAGTTAGACAGCAGAGGGGCAGCGCAGACCCTGCTATGTTGAAACAGGTAGCACAGCCCATGGCTGCAAGGTTAAATTGAACTGGGAGGGGATCTGAGATAGAAGTTCCATAAACCGGCTTGACTTAAATCAGTTAAGTTTGATACTACATCCATCCAGGTTTATCTTAAACTAGTTTCAGCCATTTTGAAAGTGGTTTAAATGCAATGAACTTCTGTTCTGTTACAAGTTTAAACCTGTTTCTGATAACTTAAACTGGTTTATGCATAACTTCTGTCCCTAGCTAAAAGGTTCAAATCCAGATGACATGGAAGGGAATGCTGTACATTTCAAAATTTTGTTTTTAATTTCACACACAAGTTACAAAAAGTTAAGTTAGATTGCCAAGTGAAGCTTACAGAAGCTAGGAGTGGCCAAATTTCCAATGGACTTTTTATCCAACTCTAAAGAAGGACGTGCATAAGGATGAGGTTTGGATCATGCAACCATCTTTCCCCTCTGTGACAAAACACCCTTTAAGGTCTGTCACTTTAAGGGCTGGAGCAGGGAGTTGCCAGGTGGCTAATGAGAGTGGTCATTTCGGGAGAGCTCTGTTATAAAAGTAGAGCATTTTGAGATCAGCCAGCAGGGAGTAACAGCGCTTGGCAGAGCTCTTGCTCCAGTAGTATCTCGGAGATAGGGGTGAGGCTATGAGGAAGGAGGAGGCCTCATTTGTCGTGGGCATGACCGAAAACTGCACCCTGCTGGGATAGGGAGGCCTGGTGGTCCTGCCTGCGGTGGGGCCGGGCCACAAATACCAGGACTGAGAACCTCCCCAGTGTAAGGTGGGTCAAGGCGCCTAAACCCTTGCCCCCACCTTTGGATGGGTTACCAGGAAAGTTGGGGGGAGGGGGGGAAGGCAGGCATGCAGAGTAGCTCCACCTGAGCCCTATGGGGTGTTGGACCCTGGAGGTGGCCCAGGCATGCTGAATGAGCAGCACCTGAACCCAAGGGGGGTGTAAGACTCTGGGCCCTGAGAGTTGCGGGGCCAGTTAAGCTCATGGAGGAGTGGCTGAGTCCTAAGAGGTGGAAGATCCTAGGCCCTAGTATAAAGGGGCGGAGTTGTGGCCCAAGAGGCGTAGTGGTCTGGTGAGGGGCTAGGGGCGAAGTAGGCCTGTAGTTGAGCAATTGCTCAGTCCTGTTTGGGTGAGGGTCATAGGAGAGGCCCAAAAAACCACGCCAGGGCTGACCAAGGGGTGGAGAGAAAAGTCTGAGGATGATCTCTCTGAAGCATGGCAGAGTAAGTGTGGCCTGGACAGGCAGTATGTAAGAGACTGGCCGAGAGCTGATGGAGTACAAGAGGCCCCGGTGAGAGGGGGTAGTATGTGTGTGGTCTGAGAAGGCAGCATGGAAAAGACACAACTGTGTCCAGTTTGACCCGGCTTTGAACCAGAGGTGGAACACACTGTGAGACATCAGCAAGGCATGGGACACATGTAGGGATGGTAGGAGCATGTACTGATCACCCACAGTCATTTGGGTGCACAAAGGGCAGCCTTCTGCCTATCTGATATCATAAGCAGTATCAACAAGGCGTGGCAAGTGAGCATGGTAGGCAGTTTGCCTAGAGACAAGGGAGGGGCCAAAATAGGACCAGGCCTGGAAGGTGCCTGTCACACCCTCTCCTCCAGAGTCTGGTCTCATTCAGTGCTTAATATTGACCCATAACCCCTGACCACATAGCAATCACCATAAAGAAGTAGGGCTGGAAGGCACCTCCACTGGTCATCTTGTTCAACCCCCTGCCTGAGATGGGATCATTCCAATACAAATCATCCTCTACCTCCCCAAAGAGAGAGAGTGGGAAAAAAAAATAAAGGACCAAAAGACAAAATTAAATTTGAAGAAATCTATTCCCTAATCTTTTAATGCTTGATTTTTGTAACCTTTGAATCACTCATTTGGCATTTCCCTCTCAACATTCTAGATCTTTGACTGTAAACAGGAATAGTAAAACTGCATATTAAGGTTGCCCAACACATCCAGTTATAAGCAACTGAAAACAGTTTTATCACTGCAGCACTATTTGCTGAAATTATCCAAAAAGATCCCAAAGCCACCCGATATGTAAAATTTTACCCAAATGTTCAATTATTTATAAGAATAGAGATCTAGTAAAGATTTCTGGGAACCTTTTATTTTAAGAGCTCCTGTGTTTCCATGGTTTGGCGTTGGGACCCGAAATTGGTCAGGGAAATCTTTGTTATGGATATGTCTTTTCTGTCACCATGAAAATCCTCACAAATTTTGATTCTGTAACCCCTTCCCTTCCCCCTCCTAGGGAAAAAATAAACCACCCCCCAAGCACATTTGAATATTTGGACATTTAGCAGCTAAACTTCATCTGCACCGTGCCTGCTCCAGCTATGGGCTAAACAGATCTTACCTTGCAAATGCAGAACTATACTTAGGTGCCTTTACTGAGAGCAGAGAAAAAATCTGTCCTTTGCTCTTAAGAAGCCCCCTGTTGGGCCCAGAAAGCATGGAGGAGGAAGCAACCATCAGGTTTGTAAGGGGAAAATAACCCAGACATGCAACAAGGTGAAGTATCATAAGGATCATAAACCACCCTGTTAAGGGTGGAAAAAGGCTGCAAGCCAGTAAAGACTAGTTTTAGATAGGGATGAAGTCAGAACTGGAGGGATGTCAGCTATAAAAAAAAGTCAGAGAATGAGCTGTCCCATACCTGTTCCTCAGGATCAGCTAGGAAAATAATATGGGACAAGGAAATGGAGGACACAGATTGGAGGACGTAGCCATGAACAGGGACAAAGCATATTTATAGAGACAAGAGTTGGGGAACTGAAGGACTGGATGAGAAACTAGGAATGGGAGAGAACAGTACCTGCAGGACAGAGGAGGCAGAGGATGAATGTGAACTGAAGGTTAGAATCCAGGGCCATGTGTATACTAAACGAGGTGCATGTGTGCATGACACTTTAAAGCCAGTTAAATGCTTTTGCACTGCTTTAATGGTGTTGGTATTTGCATGTGTTGGTAGCATATTGTGCACTAATTCCAGCTGCTGTAGCAAATTCAGAGATGTAATGCGTCTTAAATGACTTGGGGGAGTTTTCGCTTCGTGGCTGTAGGGCAACAAACTAAGTACATGCAGCTCAGGGGCTCTGCAGGCAGCAGCCCTGGAAAGCAGGCTCCGCCCAAGAAAAAAAAAAAGCAGCGATTTTCCCACCCCCCCACAAAGCCAGCCTGCCTGAGCTGCACAGGGACCCACTTCTCTCTGCAGCTTCTCTCTGCAGCTGCGGTGCCCCGGGACCACCCAAGCCAGGTGCTTGTAGGTGGGTA